AAAAAATTTAAATTGACTGGTTTGACAGGAAAGTTAAAAGATTATAGAAGATCAAGAAAGTTGGTGAAACTGGAAAAGATGTATGAGAAAAGATTAGCTGAAAATGTAAAAATTAACAGTAAGGATTTCTTTAAATACATTAGCTCTCTCAATACAGGCTCGGTCAATTTGATCAACCACACGACCTCTTTGTACTCATTCAGATTCTTCATAGATTTATTACTACTAAGTGTGTATATCTTCATGCAAATCATATTTTTAGATGCTTTTGATAGGATATTTACAAACAAACTCTTGTACATTTTCAGGGCCAACTTTAATGCTAACATCTGATCTTATAAGAACTAATTTGGGACCTTTGGCACTGGAAGGGTAGGCTCTTTTTGTTTTGTTTTTACATGTGTTTTGTTATATCACATTAGAATTTTTTTTACTGTCCTATGATTTATGAACATTTTGATTTTTTTTTTTGTGTTGAGATTAATTTTAGTTGTAGTATTAGTGTACTTTTATGTAGGACAAGAAAAGTTACATGTTATTTATGGAAACATATAAAGTAGAAAATATTAACACATTGAAAAATAACTTGCTCACTTATTGAGTGTTAATGTTTTAAGTGTCTGGAAGGAGAGGAGTTATTTTCAGGAAAAAAAGTGTTGTTGGAGATTTGTGTTGGAACTTGTGAAGATTATTAACTTTTGTATGCTCAGGGATCACACATGTTCATGAAATTGTGGAAAGTCATGAAAAATTAGCTCTTAAAAAGTTTGGTACTGGAAATTCTGGAAAAACAATAGTTTTAAATTATAGTTATGTAAAAGTCCTGAATTTTCAGTTTCAATAAAAAAAATTATCCCACAAAAACAACCAGCATAAATTGCAAATAAAATTAACAAACAAAGACCAAAGTTTGGTTATTTATACCAGGTTTGTTTATATTTTGTGTTGGCAATTGTGAATCTCATGTTTTATGAGGCCCAAAATTGTTGCAATTTCTGCTAGCACGCATGTTTGATGAACAAAAAATAAAAGTAAATTGTAATTTTAATCATATGTGGCATGATTCGAGTCCTGAAATTTTCTATCATATCTATATACTCTATTTTCATATCTAATAATCTGATATCAAGTGAAAATAACATCTTGTGGAAAACTGTGTTCTAATTTAAATATGTACCATTTACATAGTATTAGGTGATACCTTATGGAAAAACTTCATTTTTACACTTCACTTAAGTGACATCGTATGGAAAACATATGTTCTATTTTGTTGTTTTTCAGAATTTGTAGTGCATACTGGAAGGATTAACATACTATAGCAATAAAGTTAACTGATAACAAAAACTATTTGTACTACTAGCTCTGATAAAGCTGTAATGTCAAAACATTGGCTGAAATAAAATGATTTTTACAATTATCTGGAGAGTAAAGTTGTTGTTTTTGAACTTTATTGCCATATGTAAGCTAATTTACATTTTAACTCTTCATATAACACTTGGGAAGTGTTTTTGTAATCAAAGAAGACATATTTTGCTGTGAAATACCAAATTTTTTTCTTGTATTTTGACAAGAACTTCTAAGAATTATCCTATCTTTGCACTACATTTCTGCTTCATGCAGAATACCTTCAAGTCATTAAAAAAAACAAAAATTCATAATGTACATGATTAAATCCAGCAAAATGTTGATGAAATAATATTTATATATCCTCTCACTATACTGTTTTTATAAGCCCTTACAACAGTTGAAGAAGTAATATCTGTGTGCTATTTTTCCTATAGAAATTTGTTTGTTTGTAAATGTAATTACATATAGAGTAAATTTAGAATGTGTGTGCAAAATCTAATAGTACATCTGAATACAATTTGATAGCACCAATGAGTACAGACTTTGTAGTTGGCTTGGTCAGCAAGAAGACCAGCACAGAATTGTTCTCTATCAGTGTGACTCCAGGTTTTCCACGTGGACACAGCGCTGTATCCGACAAGCAGACTGTATCCTAATTGTGGGGCTCGCTGATCAGGAACCAACTGTGGGAGAAGTAATGTATTATTTTTGTTTATCTCTTTCTGTTTCACTTTGTTTAAACTGTATACCACCTTTTTAAAAAGTCACTAAGTTAAAATAAGTGGACTTGCATGAATTTTGTTACATAGTTTCCAAACTTTAAAAAAACAAGGAATTTTAAGTTATTCTATTTATCTATATATGACAAAGTTTTATTGTGCTATGTGAAAACAATTTTTTTGCATTGACCCCCCCCCTCAAAAAAAAAGTTTTTTAGCCATTATTATTGTTTATTGAATACAAACCATGAACTGTTAATTTAATGAGTAAGAAAAAAAAGGAGTTAGAAGATAATAAAAATCAAACCATTTTTATGTTATTAATAGCTTGAAAAATGTAATTTTATAAATACAGTTAGTTTCATGCTGACTACTCAGATCAGTACAAATTAATTATATACATGTGTGTGTGTGTGTGTATATATATATATATATATATATAT